TGCTCGATGTTGGACTTATGAGACTGCTGTTGCCTTAGACTGCGAAATTCCTAATGGTAAATATTATACTAAAAAGTGCAGATTGCCTAATCTAAATTATAATTACTATAAGTCACTTAGACTTTTCTCTGTCTTAACAAAATCCTGATTTCAGCAAGAATTTTGTACATTTCTGTATACAAACATTGTGATTTTAAGTGGCACCACCCAAAAGCCCTACAGTTCTAATTTCCTGCAAAAATTTTCAGGCCCTATTCTAGCCCTGCTTCTCCCTCTGTGTTTTGGTTTCTTGGTTACGTATTTGATTCTTGCTACACTCAACATTTTCATTTTACTTCGTGCTGTCCAGAAAGGACTGGCAAAGTACCCTTCAAAGTTACCCTTCCCCTAGCTTTCTATGTTCATCTCTTCCCTTGAGTCCTTCATGAAAGTAACATACACTATTGCTGTAGAATCCAAACATCATTTCTGTAGCTAGTTATTACCTTCCAGGATCTTGTTCTCTTCTTGGGCTATGACCCTCAATTGGAAATACTGATAAAAATAATATTTACACTCCCAGTTCCTTTATCTTCTAACTGAAGGCTTTGTAATCTCCAAAGTTTCTTTCAAGATCTCTTTTGTCCATACCATTAATTCCCATATGCATTAAAAGGATGGTGGGTTTGGATAATGTTGGTAATGTTTTGTAGAGGGCAGTGGGAATGACCTTGAAGGATAAGAGGGAGAGCTGCTATCAAGGCAAGGGCCAGATAAGAGGGGCTTGTGCCTGGGCCAAAAAAGCATCTCAAACAAGCCCTTTCCTAATTTGCACATAGATAAAGTGAGGGAATTCATACTTGCAAGGTTCTGTTACTATAGTTGTTACAATAAAAGTAGTCCTGATCTTTGTGGTATTAACGTTTCAGCCTGGTCTGTCTTGTTGGGCTGACATCTCTCTCATATTATGGAAAAAGCAGTGCTTCGCCTGTATCTTGCTTATTCTTCCATCTCTTCCAACTCCTGTTAATCTCTATTTGTTGTCTGTTTGCTCTCAGTGATCTCACTCTCTGGAAACATGCTTACATTTTCAGTGTAATATTTATACTGTACACTAAAATATACAGTGCAACTGTAACTTGTAATTGTTACAATTATAGGTTAAGGATTTTTTTAATGAAAGTGGGGGATGCTCTATCTTAAAGTAATATGTATTTATAATATGTTCCCAAACAAAATGTCAATATGTTTATTTCCCCCCTTTGAATCCAGTGGATTTTGCAGTGCTTAAAAGGCAACCTTAGTATTTTGATATGTTTGTGTGAGCATATTATCATAAGACTTATATCATCCTATTACAATGTACTCCTTTGTTGACTAAGAGAGACATTTTTGGGGGGTAACTATTACTTCCCTACTGAAGTTTCTACTAGTGGTTGAATAATTATTAAAAAGTAAAAGTTCAACTGATGCTTCTTGAATGCAGCAGTTGATAAAAAATACTTATTAAAAATAATTTTAATAATATTAAAAATAAATAAAACACATAAAACCCTATATGTAATTATGTTTGTAAATTGTTTAACTTTAGACAGTGATTTAAATTAAATAAACTGTTTAGTCCTTCCAATCAGTATGTGGAAATGTCCATCCAGTTTTCTTGAAAACATTTTCAGATGTGGTTGATCAGTGCCTTCTTTCTCGGGGAATGACTGACTTGGTCACCTGGCTGAGTTCCATGCCTCAGTCAGAATTAACACTGCTATCCTCCCAGCTTTTCACTCCAGCACTTTTAACCGCTACATAAAAATTATTATGTGTGGTACTATGTATAAAAACACTTATTTCAAATTTTTGAAGTAAATATTTTAATTGAATTATTTAAACAGTCTTTTCAGGCGTGTACAATACAGATTCATTCTTTCAAGCTTTAGTAGTTCAAATGAGACGTATATTTGGAAGCACCTCTTTTGAAGAACTTTTATATCGTACCTTATATTATACTTGCACAGCTTTAAATGAATACATATACTTCGTGTTTAAATCAATACATTACAAAATTCTAGGTGTCAAACATTGAAACAAAAACATGACCGAAGAAAATCACTTCCTGTGACAATACAGACCCTATTTTTTATCTTTATTTTATAGAATATAAGTATTCTGCATGTACATAATGTAACAGTATTGGAATCAAACCATAATTTTGAACCATAATATCTTTTACTTCTATTTCTCCTAGAATAAATCATTGTATTTGATAACTGAAAAAAAATAATATTTTCAAATAGACTAGTATGATCTGTAAGACTGCTAATGGAATTCAGCAATAAAAATAAAGTTATATCTTAATTTTGTTTTCACAGAATTGCCATATAATGATTACTTTGAGTACTTTGGACCAGATTTCAAACTGCATATAAGCCCATCAAACATGACAAATCAGAACACTCCAGAATATATGGAAAAGATTAAGTAAGTATTAATGTCCTATTTTTAATAAAGATAATAATGCTGTAAAAATTTGTAAATATTTTATTAAATGATCAGTAATAATAGAAGACAAAGAATGGGTTTGCTAATTACATCTGGGGTCTTAAATAGTATAGATTAGAAAATGAAAATTGACAGTTTATCCATTTAGTAATTCAGAAGAAATTTCACTTTTCCTATTTTAAACTACCTATATTAAAATCATTTTTGCTTAAAAAATAAACTCTGTGGTAAGTCTCAGAAACCATTTGTATCATTAACGTTCATAGCTTGCATATTATTTTGAAAACCGGAATATGTTATCACTATGAAGTTACAGTAATTTTTAGTAAGTTTACATTGAACATTGAGAATAGGGTAATTGTTCAAAGCTTGTATTAAAATTGTGTGAACACTAATGCAGGTATGTTTGTGATTACAGAAGACCCATTTGTTAAATTGGTCGTGTTTTTTTTTTTTTTGTGAATTTCTGTTGGCCATAGTCCTATTGCCATATAACTTGCAAGTAGTTTCTTGTAACCAGGAAGTTAATATTGTTGATACTTAAGACAGAGACAAAGTTGTTTCATAGTAAACTGTTTTCTTTTTAGGCAGCGTTTATTTGAGAACTTGCGCATGCTGCCCCATGCTCCTGGTGTACAGATGCAAGCTATTCCAGAAGATGCTGTGCATGAAGACAGTGGTGATGAAGATGGTGAAGATCCAGACAAACGTATTTCTAGTAAGTAAATTTTATATGTAAACTAAGCAAGTTGCCTTAAATGTTGGCCGTGAATTTTTGGATTTTGCTTCCAGTTTTTGAGGAGAAAATAATTAAACCACAATCCTTATTATCCTAGTACAATTGCTTTTTTGAAAAAAAAAAGTCACCTTGCTTTTTTGTAATTGCTTGTGAATGGATATAAATAAATAATTGCTTTTTTTTAATGCGATGTCACAGCTTGGTTTAAATGTGTTCCCATACTTTTGTTTCTTTTTACAGCCATTTGTTCCATAGTTACCCAAAATCAGTGTTTGGTAGCACCTTTTTTAAGATCAGTAAATTTTATTAAAAGACATAAGCTTTATGAGTTGCAGCTTATATCATCAGATGCATGGAGTGGCTTAACTGATATAAAATTTAAATAGGGATGGAGGGTGATTATGCAAATGAGGTTTCATGGGGGAACAGATTACAAGTACCTTATCAATTAATAATAGTAATGTATTAAACATTCATTCAGTTTGTTCAAACCTTCTGAGATAGCCTGAACATAAAAACTATAACAGCACAACTGATTACAAGACAACTGAATTTATCCACGTCAGTCGGTATCAGGTTATCATGCCTTTTTGTTGTTGTTAAATACTTTTGTCATTGCTGAGCAGCCTTTATGTCATCAGGTAACATGTTGAAGAGATATCTTGGAATAATCTCTTTTTAAAATTTCCATATTAATTCTAGTTCGGGCTTCTGATAAGAGGATAGCCTGTGATGAAGAATTTTCTGATTCTGAAGATGAAGGAGAAGGTGGACGCAGAAATGTTACAGATCATAAGAAAGGAGCAAAGAAGGCACGCTTAGAAGAAGACAAAAAAGAGGCAGAAGACAAAAAAGCAGGTAAGTCAATGCCAAATTACACACTTTCTGTTAAGCTAACCATACCAAATTGACTTGTAAGCAAAATTCTGTAATCTTTTTGGCATATAATTATAGCCCCTTTCAAATGTTCAACTGAATAAATAAAAGCTAGACAATTGGACTAGGCATGGAGCCACATTATCCGTTCTCTTAAACTATCACACATTCAGAAAGAGATATAAATAGTTATGTTTGTATTTGCAAGAATAAGAATATGATCTTAGATCCTGTTTTACCTGCTTCCTGGAAAGTTGCCTCATGTGCAAAGCTGTGCAAAATTAAAATGAATACAAAATAGCTATCCTTCAGGCCCCCAGTCACGTGTGGAGCGCAAAACAACAACAACAACCAAAAAAAAAATCCCATGGGGTTACAGAACTTAATTCTCTCTTCCCTTTGAACCCCCCCCATTGTTCATCTGATTGAATGAAGAAAACTTTTTATGATAATATCCAGCTAAGCTCACACATTTGATGACTTCAACCAAAGTAACTGCAGTGCCGTCTTCCTGGGTCAAGAGGAGGGATGCAAAAGTGCATAAGTTTTGCTTAGGTCACAAAAATTTTGTAATACTGTTAATAGTACATATTAAGATGAACTGCCATATTTTCTAGATTATCTCCAATGCATATAAATTGATTGTGAAATTGATAGCTAATTTCAGAGGTGCAGTTTCATTTTTTTATGTGAGCTGTAATCCTATATTTATTTACCTGGGAGTTCTGTTAAACTGAATGAAGATTATTTCTTCATCACATAACTGTTTATATTGTTGATGCAGATTGCTGCTTTTTATTTCTAGATATTAAAGAAGAAGACAAATCTAAAGATAACAGTAGTGAGAAAGTAGATACCAAAGGGTAAGTATATTCCATCTGAAAAGTCTATATCCACTTTTAAAATGGTATAGAAATGTTAATCATCTACTTGCTACCCCTTAAAAAAGACAATAACTCTGTATTGGTAACAATTGCATTTGTTTATAGTGTATGCTTGAATGGGTGTGGCCAGTCCATTCCCATTAGGAGGCAATTTCCAGAATTTTCTGAAGGTGAAATAGATGCCAAGTTTAAAGCACCCACTTTGGCCCATAAAAGTTCTCCAAAATCAAAAAATGAGCCCAGCTTTCAGCCCAAACTATTTGTAGGGCTCTAGAAAGCACAAAAAGGAGGTTTATAGCCTGCATTCAGATTCTGGACTGCACTTTTTGCATAATGTGAACACAATATTAACATGTGACCTATGTCATGTGTCTGATTAACGAAACACTTAAAAGGACTTTCAGGCATATTTTCTCCTAAAAGCATTTATTAAGGTTACAGAGACGTCAGTACAGCATGGTGGAAATGCTTAGGTCTGGCTTCTTTTCTGTTACGCATATACATTCTAAGCATTTCCCCCCCCCCTTTATTTTGGGGTCATGGTTCACATCTTCCAATCAACTTGGAAGATGTGATTTACTTCCAGTTTCTTTTTCCCGGGCCTGGTTTATTCTCCTCCCTTTTTCCCTGTTGCCTGGTTTAACTATAAAAATACCAGACAGTTCTGCATATTGTCAAAGCAAGAATATACAGTATTTGCAGCGTTGACATCCTACACTAATAACTGTCTTTTCTTTCTGCCCCCCCAGCACAAAATCAGAACAGCTAAGCAATCCTTGAACACAAAGCCTTACAGTATGTCAATCAAAGGACCCAATACTATAATGGAAAAAAAAATACTAAGAGAAGTTTTTCGTACTGGAAGAGACATTTTATTTTCATTTAGTAGAATTTGGCATGGAGCATATTTATTTTCAAACAACTGTGTTTTGATTTTTGGCAACTTGTATTGTGAATTCCCCAATTATGATACAAAATTTGTTCCTTCCACCAGGCTTTATGTAATACTATTTAAAATGGATGTGAGTTAAGATGTAGTTAAACGTCTAAACTGATCTATTAAAATTTCCCTTTTCCCGGATTGATTTTATCCCCTTTTTGTAATTATATCTTTATTAAAAAACAAACAAACTGTACTTGGCTGATTTGTCTATTATTACCTAGTATATACAAATGTATATATCACACTACTGTTATGAAAAAACCTGGTTAACCTTGAAATTGAGTTGAGTTTGGTGAAAAATATTTTGGTTATGCCCCGGCTTTAAAATAATTGCCATTGGATAAGATTGTGCACTTAGGTCCAAAGATACATGAATACACAGTAATTCATGGAACTCTTTTTATCTATTTTCTGGTAGAAACGTGGGAAAGGTTTTTTGTTGTTGTTTTCTATTTCCCCAAATCGATGCAGTCTTTGCTTATGTGGAAGCATACACCATACAGCTGCAGACCAATATTTTTCTGCTGACAATCTTGTATGTGTGTGTGGGGGGGAGTGGCAGATCAGCTGAGCATTCCAGATATAACAACATCTAAATATGGCCTATGCCATGGTCCTTTTACAAACCAGAAGTAGCATCTTTATTCATAGAATTGTTCGAGGCATAATTGAAATAATTGGCATTTTATTTCTGCACAAAAACAATAGTTGATAAAATCACAATGAAATCCATCGTTCTGGTTCCTCTTCCAAATCCAGCAAAATGTGAGCTAAAACAGTTACTTTAGCAATTTGTTTAACTGTAAAGTTATTTGTTTGTTTGTTTGTTCATTTAAAAATGATTTCAGTAAGAAGAAGAGAAAATATAACGAATCCTCATTTTAACACATCACTGGGAGAATAGATAGTTATTTCCGAATGTCTGTTATATTCAGAAATACATCATTCACACATTATAGAGCATTTGCTTCCTGACCCCAGCTACATCATCTTTGCAATACACATTTTGATGTCACACATGCCATTGAATTAATTTAAAATTAAGATAAATGTAATTGCCTCATCCAGACTATTTCAGATTCAACAGACGCCCTTGTTTGGGGGAAACCCAGGTGGAACTTCAGTTTGTTGCATCTGAAATCCACTAAATGGATTAAATCATTAAATCAAGGCTTCATTGTGTTGCCGAAAGAAAAGAAATGGCTACATAAAGATGATGTAGAGAAGTATTTATTTGAACTCATGTGTCATCCAGAGCAATTTTTGGAGACCCTTTTGATTGTAGAGGCACTGTTATAAGTCTCTGTGAGACACAGGAATAATATAATTTGCCTCAAAAACAGTTTTCATTGCCTTGATAGCTTCTTACAGCACTTCCAATAGGTTGAATTTCTGTTTATTGCTGTCATTCGTATCTAAAGCCAATCTATCCTAATAGCTTGGAAATTCTCAATTGTTTCCAACAAGTTTGGATGGCAAGTGGGTCAGAAATATATTCCTTGCCTTTTGGCCAGCGATTTACATATAGCAAATGTTGACATATGGATTCACAATTTACTATTAATTTTTGTAACCAATCATTTTCTAGCAACTAGCCTTCAAAATCTAACCAGACTATTCCAACAACATGTAAATCAATGCAGATGCCAATTGCATCAGCAATTAGAATTAAAAAAAAATGGGATTATCTATCTTCCTTTGGCCAACTTCAGTCTTTTCATGACAGCTTCTTCCTGAAGACAGGCACTTGTGGTTAACCATATTAATACACAATTTGTACAGGATTTCACAGACAGATATCAAGTATTTTTATATATTTATTTTTAAAATATAATGAATACTGAAGCATTTTCTATAACTTGCATGGTAAGAGTTTTATATTTAAACAGATCCAAAGACTAATGTAGTTGTTGATGTTGTTAAGTATCCCTCTAATATTTTGTAATATTTAAATTTGTGTTTATAGGAAATTCTTTGCATCAGTCTGCCCAACCTCATTGGCACATGCTCGAGCACAGATGGTACAAAAATATACAGTGGCCAATATTAACATTTGGCTGTTCACCATCTTCAGGAGTTTTTGGCTACAGTATTGATATTCTGGGTTGTAAATAATGCATTAACACTGAGAATATATCTTGTGGATGCCAAGAACAGGACATCCGAGTTGGCAACGGGCAGACTGAAATGAGTATCATCGAATAGCTTTCATTGATGTTCAATGCCAATATTTTCTTCCTGATTAAATTGCCAGGACTAGCACACAAATGAGATACGCTGCAGGCAAATGTTCATTTATCTTGTCAGCTTTGACCAAGTAGCATCAAAGTCCAAGCAAACAAGCAATTTTATCTGCAAAGAAACTTGAAAAAGTGTCGTAGTATTTATCACCATAATATAAAAAGATGTTGAGACTCTAGAAATTGGAATGCAGAGAAGAGCAACAAAGATGATTAGGGGACTGGAGGCTAAACCATATAAAGAATGATTGCTGGAATTGGGTATGCCCCTAGTTTAACGAAAAGAAGGACTAGGGGTGACATGATAGCAGTGTTCCAATATCTAAATGGTTGCCACAAAGAAGAGGGAGTCAACCTATTCTCCAAGCACCTGAGGGCAGGACAAGAAGCAATGGATGAAACTAATCAAGGAGAGAAGCAACCTAGAACTAAGGAGAAATTTCCTGACAGAACAATCAGTGGAACAACTTGCCTCCAGAAGTTGTGGGTACTGGAATTTTTAAGAAGAGACTGGAATGGTATAGGGTTTCCTGCCTGAGCAGTGGGGTTGGACTAGAATACCTCCAAGCTCCCTTCCAACTCTTAATCTGTTATTCTGTAAGTATAGAGATAGCTTTGAAATATATATCAATAGCAATTAGGTAAACACAGCTTAGCCGTGAATGGAAGCAGTAAGTGAGAAGGAAAATGTCCTGCCTTGATTCTGAGAGTGTCGGGTTTCAGTTAAGTGTAGAGAAATAGATGTTTCACTATCATTATCACCATGTCAGATATGATTATACAATTTTGTTCGGTTGCATTTTGGCTTTGTTTTTTGCTACCATTGCTCTAGGTATCTTTTAATTATCACTTTCTACAACTTCTCAGAAAAACCAGCAACTCCCCAAGATCTGAGGTCCCAGAGAGGCCATTTGGGGATAATCTTGTCTAACACTCTAATTACCTTTAGAATTTAGTACCATGTTCAAATTCACTCTCCTCTAAATTCCAGAGATCAACCAATGTGTTTAATTCAAAATAATATAACATTTATCTTTACAGAAGCTATACAGATATAATTTGTGGACTCATCTTTTGATCCTTTGTATTTATTTATACAAGGTAAGCATATATAATCAGTGGTGGGATTCAGCCGGTTTGCACCACTTTGGCAGAACCGGTAGCTAATTTTTTGTTGCCCAGGCCCAGAATTGACTTCCGGAAGCAGCATCCACACAGAGAATCAGTTGTTCACATATTTGAATCCCACCATTGTATATAATGATATTTATACAAGGAAATAATATTATAATTGTTTTTTAAAATGTTCAGTAGTTTCAATGGCAATGTTTCAAAAACCTAAGTGTAAAGCACTATTTTCTGGTTGATGGCTACATGTAGAAAAGGCTTCATTATTCATATTATAAGATATCAAAAATCCTCCATGCATGAGCTTTTAAAAGTCATGGTACAATTCCAGAGCAGTTGCAATGGGAAAGATATGGTTAAGTTTCTCCTCTTGTATACAGCCA